CACACATAAACAGAGCGATGCAGTTTCCCGTTAGATTGTTTTCAACTTTTGGAATTGGTTGTAGTTTTTAGTATGCGTATAACAAATACGCAAACTATGCGGCACTTCTTATACAGGGTGTTTCAGAAAACGCAGGCAAATCGCTAATGCAAAAACTCCTTATCACAACGAAAAAAAGGCTCGTGGCGTTTTGATCCTGGGCCAGGGGCTCATTTAAGAAAATTGTTAAAGTCCCGGATAATTAACTTGTTAAGTATTTTTGCGTAGTTAACTTTTTTAATATTGTGTTTAAAGGGATACTTCAACGAAATTTGAAATATTCCCGTCGTGTTCAAAAATAGGTTGAATAGGATCCACAATATCCGTAAATGACAATCGCACGTTTGTATTTTGAGCCTGGTGGCTGTATTTTTCGTTATAAACGGCCCACTCTGGCAAGCGCTCGGAGAAGGCCCAGCGGAGACCACGTGACATCCAACGCAATCGTGACGTAGGTCGTCTCAAGACGAGCAAAGCTACGGCGAGGCTGATGTCGAGAGGATGGCCTAGTCGTTCCAGCCACCGAAGCGGCTGCTTTTGTACAAAATTTGATTGACGGGTTAATCTTCTATAATTTTGTAGGGGAACAATAGCGACTTCTGCGACACACAAAAGGCATTCTCGGGAAGAGGGGAGTTCCTCCTGCCCCTCTTCTCTCGTCGTGGCCGGAGGCGAGACAACCTCCGTCACTAGCTGCCAAGGCTCCTAGACGGGCATTACAAGCGAGGCGTTAGGACATCCACCAGGTGCTCTTTGCTAATCGTTTAATTCGTTTTAAAATTCCTTTTCGTGACTTTTTTAACAAGATATCGGTATGTTCGATTTGATGGTGCTTTTTTAAACACATATAGACCAAAAAATGAGCGCCGAAATTTCGTTGTAGTATCCCTTTAAGGGCACGGTTTAAATTAGAAAATTGCTCAGCGTCATCGGAAACCACTAAATCAACAAATTGCAAAACGATAGAAGGCACGCGAAGCATTTTACGGCTTTCTGAAAAACCGCACAAATTCGACGGGTGTTTAAGTTTCGGTTTGTTATCGGAGCGCGCATCTCCGCCCCGGCGGCACCGCGCCCCGCGAAGAGATAGTGCAACCAGCCTCTGCTGCGCTGTCATCGCCCGACGCAGCAGAGTCTGGTTGCACTATCTCTCCACGGGGAGAGATAGTTGCCAACCAGACTCGTATATTCCTATATTTTCAAAATCCTTAGTTTCTCAAAATTTGCTCTGTCCGGAAGTTGTATGGCACGTTACAGCCTAACGCTCCTTTCTGTAGTAAAAATATTTTATGTATAGATTTGTTTTAGTTGTAGTGTACCCCAGACCAGATGGCCTAATACCAATGGGATACAAATAATGTGTTCTAGAGGAGTAATTTGACGCTTGATGGAGGCTTTAGACGATGTCGGTGTAATAAACCAATGATTCCCCAGGCAAGTTTAGAAATATAATAATTTATGTGTTCAATCCAAGCAGAATTGGGCAGAAATACTCAAAAATGTATTTGGAAATACAGACACTGGGATACCTTAAAATAGTACCTAAAATACTGATACTGAAATATATCTGTAAAGGTGTATCGCAATAGGTATCGGAAATACATTTTAAATAGAGGCAAAAAGTATTTGGAAATACAAATACAGGAATACATTTTAGGGAGGGCAGAACTACAAGTACAGAAATAATGATACTGCAATACATTTTTCAAATTTATTTGAGACCAAATTAGAAGAAGCTTGCAGTTGGAAGTGAAAGTTTTTGATCCTGAAATTACTTTCCCGTAGGCTTGGCACTTTTCCTTGTAGGTAGTGATTTCCGACGACGAGGAGTTTTCAATGGGCTCAGAAAAACATTCCATCAAGGACTGACCGTTGTCCCTTCCCTGACATACTGTCTGTCTGACGAGGGATGCGAAAAGACTTCGACCTCTAAATAAATTCTCTGTCATCATAAAGCCCATCAAAACGTCTCCATGCCCCTGTCAAATAAGGACGCCCCTGTCAACATTTATCACATCACGTCAAGGTGGAATTAACTGGTATTTTTTATCTGCAGGTGTGGCTTTGAACATGAAACTTTAACACGCTGCTGTATGAAAGGACAATACGCACTTTCGTTGTAGGTTGCCTCGTTGAAGATCGTGCAGGATTTTCGAGAATGGTGGACCACCTGAAACTTCCTGGAACACGTCTTATCTTCTGTTACGGTTGAAAAAACGATATGGTGGCATCCCTGTTGTGAAAGTGCTTCCTGCTGACCCTGCGCCACCGACGCAGGGATTGCAGTCACCGAGTTTCGCCTTGCATACTCCAAATAGAGACCTTGTGGATTGCGACCTGATATTGCCGGCAGAGGTGCGAGCTCTCCGTGAAACAGCGCGCTCGAAACGAGTAGCAGGTGTACGAAGTCTGGGTCGGCACAGCGAGGTCATGTCTGACCTCCTTCCTAGGTTTCGGATAACCAAAGCAGCGGGTCACTTTCACGTCGGCTGATGACGTACCCTTGAGCCGTGCAATACGGGCGCAGCCGCAGACGCATTCTAATATCTGTTGAACTTCACAGCTTGAGTCTTTCTAGTATTTCAAGTCAACCACCGCCAGGCTCGTGCTGCAACGGACTGTGACTCAGCTTTGCCGGATGGGTGTACTGTGTACGTTAAGGCAAGAGAGACGGTTAGCAGCGGGGGTTGGATGCCCGCAAACAATGACTCAAGAAACCCCTACCTAAGGACCTGCGGCACAAGATGCGCTGACTCCACTCCTGGCACGCCACCTAGTTCGAGTCTCCGACTGCGCAACAGTTCTCAGAAGAGAGAAGAGGACGCATCGAAAAATAGTTTGGAGATTTGGAAGGAACCTTGGTCAGCATGGTAACAATGCCCCAGCATCTCCTTGACCCTTGTGCCCCCCCCCCCCCCCCCCCCAAAAAAAAAAGCGTTCGAATTTTTTTTTTTTTTTTAGGGGTGGGGGGGGGGGGGGGAGTATTTCTCAAGAAATATAACGAAATACATTTCACCCTGATTGTATCGCGATACAAAGGAACATTAAAAATGTATTTCGTTACAGGAATACAGATACTGGCGAAAAAAATGTATCGCGATACAGAAATACAGACACGAAATGTATTCCTGAAATACTATCGCGATACATTTGTATCGCGATACTGCCCAACCCTGAATCCAAGTCATATGTGACCTGAAAAAAAAAAAAAAAAAGAAAAAAGCACTCCCATGTCTAAAACGTGCGTACTATTTTGATGGGGATTTTATCACTGTAAAAGTTAACATCCCTGTTTTGGGGCTAAAAAAATAACGTTTGTTTTGGTTTTGTTTACTAAAAGATTGTTTGAAGTAGATCAAATTTGTAGTTTTCTTAGGAGGTCACTTCCTGTTTGTGCAATGTTGTTAGAATTTTAAGCGGATAAAAAGATGCTAGTGTCGTCAGCGTAAATGATAAATGTTACCTGCGGTGAAATGTTAACGGTGACGTTTATGTTTATGTTGGAAAGCAACGATCCAAGAATAGTACCCTGTGGTACGCCAGATTTTATATGTTTTATTTCGGAGATGTGACCATTGATCTGGATATAGTGACTCCGCTTGTCTAGGTAGGATCTTATGAGAATTGCCGCATGTGCTTTAATGCCGTAAATATAAAGTTTCTGATGAAGCAGCTCGTGATTAATAAAATCAAATGAGTCGGTGAAATCAATGAATATACCTAGTACTATTTTTTATATTTTATTCAAAATTACGTAGAATATATTCTTTTTGATCCAACAAGCCTAGCTAGGTAGATCGTTTCTTCTTGAATCCGAACTGAGGATCTAGAATAATATCATGTTTTTATATAGATGTGGTAAGGCGATTATAAAATATTTTTTAGACCCTTGGAACAAACTAGGAGTGCCACAGGTCCGTAATTGTTTATATTATTTGTATCCCCTTCTTTCTGAAGCACCACCCCTTTTGCTACCTGCATTTCGGAATATGGCTGTTTGTAAACAAAGATTAAAAATATACACTAAAAGTTGGTCAATAGTATACCATATATAAAGAACCGGTCGTATATCTATCTCGTCAGCGTAGCAGCTATTACTAACGTCTGCGCTGCGAAAAAACATTTGTACTTCTTCCTCGGTGACTAGGTATACTCTCTTCAACTCTTTGCTCTATATAGCCGCAAGCATCGGTTATGTCTGCATTTCCCACCAAGTTTGCAAAAAAAGCCACTGAAAAGACCCACTGCCCTACACTGCGAGTCCAGGTATCCACACCATTGACCCATTCCCCTCACAACACCCTCCAAAAGCGGTATAACTAAACGTTTTCTACTATTACAATAACATCGCGAAAAAAATGAAAGACGTTTACAATTCTCTGTAATGACGAATTAGAGCGCAGCTCTTGAGGAGGAGGAGAGGGTATGACCCTCCTCTCCCTCCCCTCCTCCTCTTCTGATCCCCTCTCATTTAGTAGGCAATTTTCGCAAAATTTAGCTTTCAAATGTTTCCGCCAAAAATAGTTTCCGCTGAATTTAGCGGAAAACATTTTCCCGCTAACTTTAGCACAAAAATTTCCCCGCTAAATCTAGCAGAACAATTTCCCGCCAAATTCAGCGGAAAACCTTTTCCGCTAACTATACCGGAACAATTTCTAGCAATAAATTTTTACGCTAAATTTAGCGGGAAAATTTACCCTGTAAATTTAGGCCCCGCGCGTTGCATTATGGGAAGTCCCCGTAATAACGTGACACGTGATGTCACTCGTGACGTAACACGTGACGTCACGTGTAACGTCATTATTGGAACGTCCCATAATGCAACGCGCGGTTACGCCGACGGAGACGCCCACGCCGCTCAAGCAGGAAACGGGCGCCTAAGAGCTGCGCTCTAAAAGAAAACAATTATTAGAACTTGGTAATTCGGGTTACTCTGTAAACGCCTCCCCTTGCGGGCGCAGGTACGACACTCCCTGGGCTGCTACGACGAGATCCGCGAGGTCGAGTGTCGCCAGGTGCGCCACTGTAACTGGGTGCGCTTCGTGCGCGTCGCCCGGCGCATGTCGCAGCGCGTCAACTTGGTCGCCAGCCGCGCCCGCAGGCCGTCGCCGGGGCGACACTCGCGCCTCCTTCCGGCGCCTCGGCAGCAGGGCGTGCTGTACCGCGTCCTGCGCCCCGTGCTGCCCAACTCCGAGCTGGTGGTCTTCGTCAAGGACGAAGACGAGCCCGGGTCCCCCCTCACGTCCACGCCCAAGCTCACCGCTGACCTGGGACGCCGTTTCTTGCAGAGGACGCTCCAAGGTGAGAAAGAAACTACGACCAAGACCACGCCTCTATTCCATTCAAATTCGGAATGAACATTAAACCGGGGACAAACCCAGACATAATTGAACCTGAAACAGGGAAGAGGAAGAGAGATACGTAAAAAGACGGACAACAACGCACACCTGGAGAAGGGGAACAAGGGGCCCTCTTGTTCCCCTTCTCCATGGATTATTTTCGTCATTCTTGTCCAGCTCGCTTGCACCTTTGCATTTAATTGCATTATAAACACACTTTTCTAAGGGTCTTCCTTTTCTTCCGTCTCAGCTTTAAGCGCGAAACACATGTACGAAAAAACCGTCCGATCCTACGTCCGAACTGCCGGAATGACCTTCGGGGGCAAGGGTTTTCGTAGCACCGGAGAGCGTTGAAAACCCTCGCCTCCGGCCGTCGTATTGCCCGATCGGACGTCGGATTGGGCGGTTTCGTCGTACATGTGTTTCGCGCTTCAGTCGTGTTAAACATTCACCAGCTCGTCTGTGGGCTCCTCGCTTCTTCTAAAAACCCGACTTTGTTCCGGATTTTTACCGGAACAGATCCGGAATTTACAACGAATCCGGTCGTCATATTTATTTTACGGCGCCCTGTGTTTGGCTGCACCTGTATTGTATGGCTTGCCCTGATCGGCTAAACATAAAGGCCCGTTCACACTCGTGCGACCGAGTAAGACCGAGAGAGACCAGACCGGTTTTTAAGCCTCTTGCGATCTCTTAGGACCAGCTCCGCTGCAGCGCACCCGGTCCTAAGAAGTCGCAAGAGGCTTAAAAACCGGTCTGGTCTCTCTCAGTCCTACTCGGTCGCAAGAGTGTGAACGGCGCTTAAACATGCAGGAATCAACAGGGCGCAACTGTTCAACGCTATATTTGCGAAATCATAATGCCGTGAACATTGTTAGTCCTGAATGGCGGGTGCTGCTGGGAGATCTTCGGGGGTACACACCAACCTGCCCCAGAGCCCCTTCGATAGACCGATCTCACAGCTAGTTTCACTACGCCACCGCTGCTGCCATACATCGTGGGAGATGTAGTCTTTTTGCAGGGCGCGACCACCTTTGCTGAGCGATTGCGCGAGCAGAGCAAGAGGCGGCTACGAGCTGCCTCGTGAACTGGCGCCTGCCTCCTATGAACTATCACGTCACGCATGTGTGAAACCCTTAGTGAGATCGGTTTATTGTGGTAGTATCCTGAAGGATTATCCTCACAGGACACACTTTATGCCGTGTATGGCATCTTCTGGACGGAAGCGAAGAATCTTCCTTCGCTTCCGGTCCGCTTTGGGACGTTTTCTGCCCGGGGGTAAGTCACCCTCCGCTAGCGTCCTTGGACAAAGCCTTGGAGCGTGCTCATGAGTAATGACGTATAGGACAGGACGTAACTACTCGCATGTTCTGTTGGCTGCCGTCAAGGCCTCCACTGTAGTTATCAGTCCCCAACCTCCCGAAGAAAGGGGAGGAAGCAAGGAGGAAAGCCGCGCTGTTTGCCTGGTTGATGTCCTCACTCGAAATGGACACGCGCCAAAACGTTCACGTTCTTATGGCGAATTCCACAAATCGTTTTAGAGCGCGCCGGGATAGACTTTTCTGGAGCGCGCATTGTTCACGGGGCGACCGGTATCGAGACGGACGTGTTCCACCCGTCGTTATGGATCAGCTTCCACTGCATATCTCGATCGGGATCCGAGAACAGTCGCTCCGCAGATTTCAGCGGATTCGGCCGGAAGCCAGCCTGGCCAGCCCTCGGCGCGCACACGTAACTTCCTTTTTCGCCGAGCGGGCATCTCGCCGCGGAAGACTTCGTAATAGCCGCTCCCAATGTGCCGCCCACTTTACAGCTGCTGCTGCTTGATGACAGTTCGTCGTCAAGTTGCTCGAGCAGCTCCTCCAGCAGAAGCGGCTCGAGTAGCAGCGACGACGAGGATTGCTCGTATGTCTCGCATGAGTTCGACTGCCCTTTCGGACCTCCTCAGAAGACGCAGAAAATTGAGACGTACTTGGACACCGTTCTTGAGTATTCCGATGAAGAGCCAAGTGGGCTACGCTAATGCACATCTCTTATCAGCACGCATCTCTTACATCATGAACTTCTCTCGTACGTTGAACACGTGTTGGTAGCACTGAAAACACGTGCTTCGAGATCCGGGACCGCAGGAAGTGGATTCCGGGAAGGTGAATGAAGGGAAGGCATCCCGCTTATCCCGGTAGAGTGGTCACGTTCTACTGGGGATCGGGAGGCGGAGCGACTTTGTTCAGATTGCGTGGTCCATCTCGGATCGGGTCTACTGGTCCCGGAGCGCTCCATAACGACCTGTGAAATTCGCCCTTAAAAAGCGTGCACGTTTTTTTTTGTTTTGTTTTGTTTTTGTTTGGTCGTGCACAGTGGAGAGCATGTCCTGCTGGGCCAGCACGTCACACCATTGGAAAAACATCCCACAAAAAAACATTGATCGCGGATATGAAAAAAGACGCCTTGCACTGCTGGGCAACCTCGTCCCATTCGGCGGTGTCGCTTGTTTGCAAAACGTTTGGACCGTGACGACTGTGTGTAGTCGTCATATTCTATGACGACTACACACAGTCGTCATAGAATATGTTCTATGTACTACGTGATTCTATGTACTACGTGACGCCAAATTAATATTCGGCGTCACGCAGTGACGCCGAATATTAATCAGCTGGCAGCCCACCCGGACTCTTGCTCATATTTGGGTGCCGAGTTTCGCAGTATAATACACTTTAAAAAAAAAAAAAAAGACACCGGCGATTCCATAATACCGAACGCCTGCGTGCCAAAAAAAATTCAGACGCCGGGGGCCGCCACTTACTTGATCTAATGAGAAGGAAATTAAATTTTCAACCAATCTCCAGGATTGGCGTATTCGTACACAAAAATACAAATGTTTTCAAACAACATGCACCAGTGACTAGTTTTTAATTGATTAGCTTTGTCCTGACAAATAAATAAAATCTTTGCAGCAAACTTCAACACACTATTATATACCAAAATCTTAAAAAATGACACTGTCGATGTGGCAATGTCATATTATTTCGCAATATCCATCCGACCTTCTACAACGAAGGATCGCTTCTTGAGCTTCAAACGTTGGAGAAATGAAATTATCTAACAATAAAATTTTGAAGAAAACGTTGGTCCTCGTAGCTTAAGTATTATATTCGTGAATCTATTTCTATAGGATAATTTAATTCTACATCGACGCGTTCATTCTTTTTTCTTCTATTTTCTACAGGGTCTGGAAAGGGCCCTATCCAAAAGGTAGACGGCAATCGTGCTGTATGTTTATACACCCGGAGGTTATTCAGCTCCAATGACCCTCTAGAATCTCAGCTGTAGGGGAGCAATGTACCAGGTGTGTTCATCCAGATCGAAACGGGCAGGCTTGGGGATTGAACCCAGGATCTCTGGGTTCTACAGCGTGAGCTTTCCCTCCACGTGCTCAGAGCTGGTGTGCGCTAAAGTCGCTGAATCCTGGGAAAGTAGCGCCATTGCCTTCCCTACCTGCTAGCCGGACAGTAACATACAGACGACCAAACCCTCGCAAGGCGATTGGCTAATCTGTCTACTTTGCCATGGAAATTGCAATGCATTCAAGTCTTCGAAGCTTCCAGAGGGTTGTTTTAAACCAGTCGCTTCAAGATCATCATGAAGCATCATCGTAATAGAAGCGTTCCTCGCCATTATAACTCTTGGCTTGGTGTATGCAATAAACTTATCAATCATGTCCATCTCTACGTATCTCTTACAATTATAATGTTCCTCTTCCGTATTTTATAACGGTAAACTTATTTTCCAGTGCCTCCAAGCACTGACACAGCATGTGGTGCTGGTACGAAGGTGTACGCTTGTATCGCCGGTGTGTGGACAGCAAAGTCTCGGTATACAAGAAACGTCTCCATAAAGCTACCCGTCACCAGCGTATTTAGATCAGCTCACCAAGAACGGACGGGTTAAGGAGAAATTGCTCATTTCACGGACCAACATGGCAACCATACGGGGAGCTTGGTGCTACTTTCCCAGGATCCAGTGGCTTTAGTGTGCTCTAGCCCACTCAGCCACCGATCCCCCAAGATAGTATTTTGTACGATTGTGTTGAAGCGAGCCTCCACGCTTGGCTGGGTTGCGAGCTCGTACCGCTGAACCATATAGTCAACTCAACCCCATTGCCGCCAGCTCCCTCGCGCACCTTGAGCGTACTTTCAGTTTTCTTGGGAAGCTTGGGGGCCCCCCGTCTGCGTACGTTTTCCATTCATTACACTCTTTATAAACAAACACACTTGTCTTTGATATGAACAAGCGCCCTGAAAAAGTGTATTTAGAAAAATGTGAGAATTATCCTCTCCGAAAATAAGGAGACGTTAACACAAAGAACAAGGGCAGGACCCCTCAGCCTTTTTGTCGCTGTTGTGGTTTTTAATTTTTTTTACATCACAATCTAACAATTTTTTAAAATTGTTTTTCATTGCTTTTTTTTATTCGCTTGCCTTAATATAAAAATTATAAAGTAACTAGACCAGCACGACAAGGTTGGCATTTTCATTTTTTTTCTCCTTTTAATTTCTAATTTGTTTCGCTGCCACTCTGAAACTTTGGGAAAACAGTTCTACAGCCCCTGCAACAACATCGCATCTTTGACCTTTACAAATTTCCCCCCTCTCCTTCCTCTACGCAGACTCTCCGCTGGACCTATCCCAAAGCCTGGTGTCCACGTCCGCGTCGTCCAAGTCCTCCAGCCAGGCGTCGTCGTCTCTAGCCAGGCTTTCCACGGAGTCCTCGGAGGCCCTCCGGACGTCGGCATCGACGTCAACAACGTCGACGTCTTCGTCTTCTTTCACGTCGACTTCGACGTCAGAAAACAACAACGAAAACATTCAGGTATGCCGTGTGCAACAGTACATTGGTCGGCAAAAATCTTCGATACAACGTAATATGGCTGTCCTTTTTTTAGAAGGGTTTTAGCTTATATAGGTTCGCTTCTGAGTCGGATGACCTTTCGTGACGCGACCCTTTAAGCCTTATTTATACGCTGAGGCGGTTTCTGAAGGCCGATGTTTCTTTAATGTTGCGAAGGTGTACGTATGACAACTGAGGGAGAGGAGGAGATGGGAGAGAGCTGGGACGACAGAGCACCGAGCTCTGGTTGGAATGATTAGTGGGTGGACGCAAAGTTATAGCTGCCTTTGTCACTACTCACTGTTCAAGCTCCGAGAGCCGGACGCCTGCGTTCGAGCAATAAGTGGAGACAAAGGCAGCTAGCTTTGCGTCCTCTTAAGGCCTGTCCAAGCAGGGATCGTGAGGCGACACGACTCTGGCAAAGCGACGCTTGTCGGCTGTGACTACGCAAAGCACGCGATGGTGTTTTTATACGCATGTCTCAAATCTTATACGGGTAGAAAACTCCGACAAATTAGTTTGTCAATGATTTATCTCGTGGAAGAAAGCGTATCACTCGCGTGTTTGTCGCCGGTCATGTTGCCCCTCGGCTGACTTTGTACGTTGAGCCACAACTGGGCTTCCGTAGCGAGCAGCGTGCTGGATTCTCCTTACATTCACACGCCGACTCTTTCATCATTAGCGGAACTGTTATTCGGCAACCTTCGCTGTCAATTTTTTTTCGTACTTTATTTCCTTCTCATATAATGCACCTCATTGAAGTGCCTTTTGGGATTATTGAACTGGTCTGAACTTCAACAGCCACTCGGCGGTCAGCCGAGACATCCGCTCCGTGTGCCGTGACGCATTCGTCTATTGAACACCCGAGAGCCCCATACCAATAGCTCCGAGGTGTTGTTTGTAGACCAAACCTAAAACCTAATTTAATTTGAGCCACTCGTTTTTTGTCTCTGCCCACCTTCGCCCGCTGCCTTCATTTTCTACTTTCTCTTCCCGTTCTCCTGTCGCACTGAAATACGCTTTGGCAGTCGTTCGGTATGCGCGACGCATATTGACCCGTGCGTACGGGAGAACAGCCCGAAGCAGGGCAGCTCATGGAAGCATACCCCGGCAAACCTCACTCATGAGGGCACTCACTCACTCTCACTCACCCTCATCTTTACCGGTGAGGTGAGGGTGAGTGAGTTTCTGAACCAGGAAAATTCATGAGTGTGAGGGTGAGTGAGGGCCGTGAGGGCTGTGAGGGCCGTGAGGGCTGTGAGGGCGGTGAGGGGCGTGAGGGCGGTGAGGGCCGTGAGGGCCATGAGGGTGGTGGGGGGTATGAGGGCCATGAGTGCGTGAGGGGCGTGAGGGCGGTGAGTGGCGTGAGGGCCATGAGTGCGTGAGTGGTGTGAGGGTGGTGAGTGCATGAGGGGTGTGAGGGCCATGAGTGCGTGAGGGCAGTGAGTGGCATGAGAGGCGTGAGGTGAGGGCCGTGAGGGCGGTGAGTGCATGAGGTGTGTGACGGCCATGAGTGCGTGAGGGCGGTGAGTGCGTGAGGCCCCCTTCAGATCGAGCATCTTTCTCAGCAATTTTGGTGTTAATGGCGGGTTGTTCTCTAGCTTTCCCTAGATCGACACGAATTGCTGAGATCGGGTTCGGCTCGAAATAAGCAAGCAACTCGGAGAAATTCGAATACGTTTGAAGCGGTGTCATCCAATCAGGGACGCAAAATTTTCACGTGATACCTCGTGTTGGGGATGATGACACCGAAAGACTTGGTTCTGGTTTGAAACCGATCGTTTTTTGGATATAAACTGTTTCAGAAAGGTGCATTAGTATTCTTAACGAGATATGCATAAAAACACGTTTATAACGCGTAATTGTGCCTAAATAGTACAAGAAAAATAAAATTTTATGATGACGATGGCAAATTGCAGCAATTGGTTGCTGCGTGTGATCGCGGGCGGCCCGTGTTGCTGGTGTTGCGACGTAAAGTTTCTGGGCGAAATTGCCCCATCTGAAGCTGGCCTTAGTGGCGTGAGGGCCATCAGTACGTCAGGGGCGTGAGGGGTGTGAGGGCCGCAAGGGCGGTGAGGGGCGTGAGGGCGGTGAGTGGCGTGAGGGCGGTGAGTGGCGTGAGGGCGGTGAGGGCGGTGAGTGGCGTGAGGGCTATGAGTGCGTGAGGGCCGTGAGGGCGGTGAGGGCCGTGAGGGCGGTGAGTGGCGTGAGGACGGTGAGTGGCGTGAGGGCCATGAGTGAGTGAGGGGCGTGAGGGCCATGAGGGCGGTGAGGGCCGTGAGGGCGGTGAGGGCCGTGAGGGCGGTGAGTGGCGTGAGGACGGTGAGTGGCGTGAGGGCCATGAGTGAGTGAGGGGCGTGAGGGCCATGAGGGCGGTGAGGGCCGTGAGGGCGGTGAGGGCCGTGAGGGCGGTGAGTGGCGTGAGGACGGTGAGTGGCGTGAGGGCCATGAGTGAGTGAGGGGCGTGAGGGCTATGAGTGCGTGAGGGCCGTGAGGGCGGTGAGGGCCGTGAGGGCGGTGAGTGGCGTGAGGACGGTGAGTGGCGTGAGGGCCATGAGTGAGTGAGGGGCGTGAGGGCCATGAGGGCGGTGAGGGCCGTGAGGGCGGTGAGGGCCGTGAGGGCGGTGAGTGGCGTGAGGACGGTGAGTGGCGTGAGGGCCATGAGTGAGTGAGGGGCGTGAGGGCCATGAGGGCGGTGAGGGCCGTGAGGGCGGTGAGGGCCGTGAGGGCGGTGAGTGCGTGAGGGCCGTGAAGTTCAGTGAGGGTGAGTGAAGGGCTGAAGGTGAGTGTGACTGTGAGGGTGAGGGTGAGTGAGGGGCTTAGGTGAGTGTAGCTCTGAGGGTGAGGGTGAGTGAGGGGCTTAGGTGAGTGTGGCTGTGAGGGTGAGGGTGAGTGAGGGCGACCTAAAATGCCGACCTCTGCATGGAAGACGGCCACGGGGAAGTCGTCACAAGAATTTACTCTATCTTACTCCAGGGTACCCTTGCATTCAAAAACCTAACCGAGACTCGAGATGGTAGCTGGCCATGGAGCATAATTGCTACGCTGTTTGTTCCTATCCGGACCTTTGAGTACACAATGACTCTTTGGCTTAAACACGTTGAAATTAGCCGGTGTAGAGAGACCGCTGAACCCGGGACTTGGAAGTGATTCAATGCAACTGCGATCGCTTGAACAGGTCGTGTTTTCACAGAACGATATGGGTATCGGGACCTCGCGCCGGTCCTTCCAAGTATACTTTGAAGTTCGCGTCCATGCGGAATCGGGCCTACCGAAATGATCTGCCAAGACTTCCTATTTTTCAACTGTGCACACACAGAACCCGTGTCCACTTTCCATTCAAGCCATGTTAGTTACATATAAAAAAAGACTTTTATTTTTTTATGAATTCCGTTTTACTCGATATGAATATATTATTCACATTAAAAAAGAGGTAAAATATTTTTTAAGCGACGCATTTTTTTAACGAACAGAACAAAGGAAAATAATAAGCGGGTATAACTTTTCTAGCCCCACTTCGCACGTAGAAATAAAATTCCTAGCTTTTCCTATTCGTGCTCTATTAGAGAATGTAAAACATCGTTTGAATAGCCGTGAATAAAAGCATATCTTATGTGAGAAGACATTGAGTGCGCAGTCGAGCTATGGTGCAGAAAAAAAAAAACTTTTAGTCGAAGGAGCAGACAAAGAAGGGAACGTCTCCTCCTCCTAGACGTTCCCTTTTGTGTCTGCTCCTTCGACTAAAAGTTTTTTTTTTTCTTCCTTTTCTGCACCACGGTTTCATGTGTTAAACGACATGATTATATATTATGTCTCACAGCGTCATGGTTTAAACACCCGATGGTATCAACTTTTCATGTGGTGGAGACACGTGTTTTTCTTTCCCCCTAGACCGTGAGGTGGGACTACAAGCTCACGTAATACGAGCACACCGACGCCAGGGGGAGAGAGAAAGTGGCTTTTATCAAACAATCAGGTCAACCAGCGCCTACTGATGGTTTCCTACACCGTTAAATTACCGGTAGGAAAAATTATAATCCGATAGAAAAAGGTTATAAATAAAAAAAAAAGAAGTCAGTGACAGAGAGAGATAGACAGAAAAAAGTTCATAGCAAAATCACACCCACTTAAGTTTCTACAAACGTGAAGGCTTAAAGACACAGACATGCGTAAAAAAAAAGGTTGCAAAAAAAAAATGAAGCATAAGTGATGCAAAATTTGTTTTCCGAGATAGCGAGGAATGTCGGCACTATATATTTCGGTTGAAACTTCTTGTATATTCACAATATGTACAAGGTGGATGTGAAAACACGCCAAATAGCCGCCTCGGTGGCTCCGAGGCGAGAGCGCCGGCCTACGGATCCCCATGTGGCGGGTTCGAATCCCGACCGAGGTGCCCGCAATATGACGGAGGCTTATTGCGGAGAAGGCGCCGTGTAACCGAGCTTTCGGTTGCACGTCAAAAGATCCCCAGGTGGTCGAAATTAATCCTCAGTCCTCCGCTGGGGCGTGCCAGATGCTCGTCGTAGGTTTGCCACGTAAAACCCCCAAATTTGACTTAAAACACGCCAAATAAAAGGGAAGTGGTACAGCAGTTGACAAAGCTATACTGACTTGAGTTGCCCTCCCACTAGTTGTCCCCTAAAAAAAACTGTCATTTCGTATGTGGTCCCGCAAACTGCGCAACAACTCACATCTACTAAGAAGACGAATATATAGCAGGAAAGAGCCTCTTTCGTACCTTGGGCCTCTTACAAGTTGTCTGGCTTCGTGTGCATTCTTAGTTTTGACCGCGCTCGCATTTGGCGGCTGCCCATGAGGGGAAAGTCGAAACACAGTGCCTGGATGGAACAGCGCGGATGAACAGTCACACTCACATCCATCCATCCAAGCATGAATTACTAACTAGACCAAGCATCCACATTATCAAACACAGTGGCTGACATGGTAACCCTGTAACAAGAAGAAGGGACGGGCAGACACGTAACGCCCTGCGTGTCCCTGACGCAGCCCGCTCCTCCGAAGAAGGACAAGGAGAAGAGACGCCGCCAGAAGTCCGTCCTGAGCTGCGACTTCTGCGGCAAGACCTTCGACCGGCCGTCTCTCCAGCGCAGGCACATGCGGACTCACACGGGTACGGCTGGCACGCGCCTTCCTTCCGCCTTCTTCTTTTGTATACAATACCATAGAGTTATTGGCCATTATAAAATAAAATCAACTACTGTAATATGATTAATCGTCTTAAAATCGATGGTTTATGTTGCATGTATATACGAATGCATCTATAAACTTTGACCACCCCTCCCCCAAATAAAAAAAAAAAGGTATTTGCTTAACGATTGCTATGTTAAAGGTCATTTAGTACAACGTACCCTATAATATGCATATACACATTCACGTGTGAATACCCACACAGACGCATAAACCTAGAAACACTTATTCAACATCGCTGAAGTGATCACGAAGATCTGTCCCGTTCAGAAATTTTCGTTGGTTTGTCGCTACCTCACGAGGCTCGAGCTTTCGCTTGCGCGAGTGCTCGCGCATACAAAGCTGCAGAGCGTTTGTTAGCGCCAACAATAGACATATTGCTAAATTACCCAAGCATCAAGGAGAATGCAGGGAATGGTGTTCTACGCGCCGCACGTGGTGGCCTGAGCAGTAGTAACTTTTCTAAAGCAAATGCCTAAAACAGATTGCATCTTGCACGCGCGTTCGTCAACGCTTTATTTTGGGTATTTGCTTCGAATGTTTTATACGGGGAAGGCGTGCGCGTGTTGCGCGTGGAGCACCAATCCCTGCATTCTCCCTGATGCTTGGGTAATTTAGCAATACGTCTATTCGACAGAGCTAAGCGGACTGTGACTACGCTTACATGACTGCGATCGCAGCGCATCAAATCGAGCAGGGGCCAATCACACGCGGCCTGTGTTCCTACTTGCTCCTCTACCCATCTGCTACCAATCAAAACGGTCAAATCTCGATTCGATGTGCTACGGTCGCATCCATGGAAACGCAGCCTGTGTAGCTCTGCAAAGCATGAGCGCAGCACGCGTTGCGTGCATGCGCTCTAAGCGAAACTTTTGGGATGGCGTATAGAAACAACAGCTTGTTTACAAACAAGCCCGCGTTTGCCCACACGCAGGTTGTGGGCACTGAACGTGCGCAAAAACCAGATTCGCGTGAAAGGAAGCGTCTGCGCACGCACACTACCGACAGCAGCGCCACTGCAACGGTTTGACGTCAGAAACGCCGCCATCTTGCTGCTGGTGCGGGTAGATCGTCTGATACTCAAGCATTGCTGAGGCCGTGGGTACGCCTCAGCAATGCTTGACTCGACTTGACGCGGATTATGACGCGTCCAAGAGCACCCCAACTAGGCAAGATGGCGCCGCCCTGAGGCCGGACTCGCAAACGTGCATACGATAGCGCGAAACAATTCGTATCGATTAACACGTCTCGCCTGCCCGTCCCTCAAAAATCCAGGCGAGAAGCCTCACGCGTGCGAGGTGTGCGGCAAGGCGTTCAGCACGTCCAGCTCGCTCAACACCCACCGGAGGATCCACTCGGGCGAGAAGCCGCACCAGTGTCCCGTGTGCGGCAAGAGGTTCACGGCCTCCTCGAACCTCTACTACCACCGCATGACGCACTCCAAGGTGAGCAGATGGCAACCCCCGTCGACTGCGGTTAAATGCACCGAGATGTTTCGGTGGCACCTTCCTATGGTCCCTATCCGTGACTTCATGACCAAGATTTGCCTCGCCCGCATTGTGATCTTGGCTATTGGCGACGTGACCGATCGAAAGCGTCGCGGTGGCCGGCCCTCCACGATTGGCCAAATGCTGGCTTTGACGTCAGCAAAGGATTCCTCATTGACGGAAATAAGAGTTATGTGAGAGCTTCGGTTTTGACGGTGTTGGCAGTATTGGTTTAAAAGCGCAATGATTTCCAGCTTCCACCATGCTATTTACAAACACCATCCAACTTGTTGTTCACAGCATAATGACGTCACGACAGGTAACCATAGGAGGGCGCCACCCAAACCTCTCGCCGCTAATACTTCGTTTCACCTTATGTTGTACCGCAGCGAAGGCTAGAAGCGCGAGCTCATAACGTTGGCAGCTGCTCTTAAGTCACGAGAGCTTGTGCCGCCGGGATTTGCCCCAGAGCAAGGAGCTCGCTCTTGTAGCCTTTCCTGCGGTACATCATAAGGTGAAAAAAAGTATACTTATTATCAGTTGCGACGACAAGTTCGACGATGTGTTTAAAAAGCACAATGGAACAGCTATCGCGTTCTTAAACTAACACCGTCGACGTTGACAGTTCAACAGTACTTTTATGCCCGCGTGGTTTGGCCACTCGTGGAAAGCCGACCGCACCGACGCTTTTGGTGGCGCATGCTCCGCCTCCAGCGCGAGCTTTCTGCCTTCGATGACATCCCGCGAGCACGACGGAAGGAAACAAGAGCGTACTGGAGGTGATGTTTCTCTCTTTGTCGCCGCGGCTATGGATAACTTAGCGTCGAAAAACGCGAACGAATAAGGAGTATTCACTGGGAGCCATACTTGTGGGTGCTGTCTAGAGCGCATGATCAAAACGAGCCCCCTTTAATAGGCTGCTAAGACCGGCCATTTTGACGGTGTGGAATGCACGTTGCAACGGAACCCTGAAGCTAGCCATCAGCACGTGCTCAGAAGTCGCGCACACAGCTATGGCCGCCATTGAATACTTCCTATAGACCGATCTCACCAAGTTTTCGGCGCATGCGTGACACCGCCATAACTTTTGGTTCACAGGGGACAGGCTGCAGTGCACGACACGGCTCATGCCGCCTCATGACCTGCACGCGCAAAGCTATAGACACTTTGCAGCAGCTGTGCATGGACGCCGCCATAACTGACCTTCAGTTCTTGTTTCCTTTTATTTCGTTTATTTCACTTCATCATTACCATAGCGGGCCAGGTTAATGCCATATTAGACTCAACTGTGTCCTTTTCTAAAGCATCGGCCTTTGTAGAGGATCGTCAACTGCCGTTTCAGTTGCTCGGCATCTCGGTAAGACAAGAGAAGGTCAGCAATGGCAGCTGTAATTTGGCGCGTGTGTAAAGCGTCTATAGCGAAGTCGTTGCGGGTGCAAAAATACTAAAGTTCCCACGGATGCATCGCAGCAGCGGTGGCGGCCAGGCTGGCTGGTGAGATCGGTTTAATATTTAACAATTACTCGCCTTCTCTTACGTGTGCATAATAAGTAACGCAACACTTGCATGCGCACGACATTTGTTGCCTATTTTTATATCGCTCACGCAGGACCATATACTTACTTATATATTCCGCCGCACCATAACATGAACTAACCGCAAGGTATCCGATCCTATTGCGTTGGATCGCACCTCGTTTACATGAACGTTCCGGCATTACATCCTCCCCTAACAAAGGGCGCCTGCGGCTGTCACTATTAGTTCATATTAGTGTGAAACGGTCTGTAGTTAGAAATATGACAGCCACTTTCGTCTTTATCGCTACTGAAAATGTCATACTCATTCATTAATCGAAGTCCGATTCGGGCGTTTGCGAAATGACTCACAATATTCATGTTTTTTTCTCCGGCGCCGCAGGAGAAGCCTCACAAGTGCCCGGTGTGCTCCAAGTCGTTCCCGACCCCCGGTGACCTGAAGAGTCACGCGTACGTACACAGCGGGACGTGGCCCTACCGCTGCCACCTGTGCGAGCGGGGATTCAGCAAGCACACCAACCTCAAGAACCACCTCTTCCTCCACACAGGTACACACACAGCGCGTCGCCATCCTCCTGCGGCGGGCTGGCGCCTGTTCCGAGACGATAACCAACCCCCAATAGATAGCCCTCTTCCATGTTCTCTACGCAATTTTCTCTCGGTAACATCGCAAAATGTGTTGAGCCGTAGGTTGAGCGCAAACTACCACAGAACCACCTCGCACAAATTGACATCAAGTGGATTCGGGTCACTTTACATGGTCATGTCACGTGACATACCGATTTCCCCGTTAAATTTAGCGGGAGATTGACGTCATGTCTTGAGGTCACATCACGTGGTCACGTAATGGTCACTCGTGACGCTCGTTCGTGACGGCTTTTTTAACGGTTTTCTTGTGGAATTTGGCTGATAAAACACATTCTTTGTTAAAATGCCGATAGCCCTGTAGTGATGACACGACAGTTCTCACTCGCGTGCCCCGCGGCAACGCGTAAATGCTAGTGCGCATGCTCGGGGTTATCTTTAGTTCGAGAGAAGTGATAATAAACACTTGGGTTCCGGACTCCGGTGTGGCTGGTCGCTCCTTCCCCGCGAGACATGGTGTCAGAAGTGGGATCCGTCCCGGAGGAGCGACGCAGCGAGTGAGCCGTCGGCGTGGCACATCCTGCAGCGCCCGCCATGGCGGACGAAGACGCTAAGCCTACGCAGTTCTGCGCCGCCGGTATCCAGCCGCCTCCTATGTTGGACTTTTCGAACCCCGGCGAGTGGAAGGAATGGTTTTTCCTGTTCGACGACTACTGCTACGCTTCTGGGCTCTACCAGGCGCTGGGCGAAGTACAAGTCAGGACACTGCTGTACGCCATGGGCTCCCGTGAGGCTCGACGACTCCTGGACACGTTGGCCTTGACAAGCGACGACTGGTGCTCTCTTCAAGCGGTGAAGACGAAGCTCACAGACCACTTCATCCACCCGGTCAACGAAGTCTACGAAAGCGTGCGCTTCCACCGTCGCGTCCAGGCTGAAGGCGAGTCAGTAGGCGACTTTTACACTGCACTACGTATGCTCGTCGAAAAGTGCAATTACGCCTCCGCGGAAGTCGAAGAACGCCTCGTCCGCGATAGATTCGTCGTCGGTCTCGTGGACTCTAAGCTGGTAGACAAGCTATGTCGTACGCCTAGGCTCACGCTCGAAGACGCGAGACTCCAGGCCCGTATACACGAAGACGCCGTGAAGGCCCGGTCTGAAGTTTTCCAGAAGGAACCAAATCCTGCCATTGTGGTCTCCGAAGCAAAAGTCCGAAAACGTCTTCCGAAGTCACAACGGCGTTCCGACTCGGCGGGGGAAGGCGCAACGAGGACTCCCAAGCCTTGCTCAAGCGACGGACGCTGCAGGTTCCGCGGCAGGTCACCTCACCCCCGCTCCGACTGTCCGGCAAAAGAGGCAAGATGCAGGTAGTGCAAAAAAAGTTGGACACTTCGAAGCCGTCTGCGAAAAAAAAGCCATGGGATCTGTCGAGCTGCACACAGTTGCGGCAGGCGCCCGTACCAGAGCCAAGTTCGCAACCGTGGCCGTCAACGGACACAACGTGAAATTCAAAGTGGACTCTCGAGCGGAGGTGACCGTGGTGTCGAGTTCATTCCCTGGAGTACCGAAAAAGCTTCGTGCACCAGAAGGTGAGCTCACGGGCCCCGGAAACCACCCCCTGAAAGTACTGGGCACGTTCCCCGCAACGCTGCAATGGAGGGACAAGTCGACCGTGCAGGACATTTACGTCATGCCTTCACAACAGCCCCCTCTTCTCGGCTTCCCAGCAATACAAGCGCTGGGCGTCATTCAGTTTGTCGACAATGTGGCGACACCAGCGGTGCTGCGGAGAGACAGGCTTTTCGACGGTCTGGGGGAACTAAAGGAGGGGTACGTCATCCGGCTTCGACCTGGTGCCAAGCCCTTCGCTCTAAGCGTGCCGAGGAGGGTCCCGATCCCGCTGCACGACGTCGTTCGTGGTGAGCTCAAGAAGCTAGAGTCTGAAGGAGTCATTCGCAAGGTTGACCGCCCCACAGACTGGTGCGCGGGCATGGTCGTCGTTCCGAAGACTGGAGGAGGCTACCGCATCTGCGTAGACCTCACGCGCCTCAACGAAGTCGTACTGAGGGAGCGTCACATTTTACCTTCGGTTGAGAACATCCTCAGACGTCTCGGGCAAGCGAAGGTTTTCTCAAAGCTGGACGCCACTGCAAGCTTCCACCAAGTGAGGCTTTCCGAAGAAAGTCAGGAGCTGACGACGTTCATAACCCCAATGGGAAGGTTCTGTTTCCGCAGGCTGCCTTTTGGCATCTGTTCAGCGCCAGAGTACTTCGAGCGTCAGATGAGTCGCATTCTAGAGGGACTGGAAGGAGTTGTAAGCATGATCGACGACACTCTCGTCTTCGGCGCATCAAAGGGCGAGCACGATCGTCGACTCCAGCAAGTGCTGCAAAGGCTCGACGAAACAGGCGTCAAGCTGAACAAGAAGAAGTGCAGTTTCGCTGCCTCAGAAGTCAAGTTTCTCGGCGTGTTGGTCAGCGCGAGAGGAATCAGCCCGGATCCCGAAAAGATCGAGACCCTGCAGAAGTTGCCGAGACCCTCGGACGTTAGCGGAGTACTTAGACTGCTAGGGATGGCGAACCACGTGGGGCGCTTCATCCCACACCTCTCGGACGTCACGGCGCCAATCAGAGAACTTCTGCAACAGCGCAACTTGTGGTACTGGGGACCAAGCCAGCAAGCTGCCTTTGAGAAGCTGAAGAGCATGCTTAGCTCTCATATCTGCTTGGCCAAGTACGACCCGTCCTACCCAACAGTAGTTTCAGCTGATTCAAGCTCTTACGGACTTGGGGCCGTCATGCTTCAAGATCAGCCCTCCGGCGAGAGACGAGCAGTGGCCTATATATGTATCAAGGGCTCTCACGACCACCGAAACTCGCTACAGCCAGACCGAAAAAGAAGCCCTGGCCGTAACGTGGGCGGTCGAGCGCCTCGATCAGTTTTTGAGAGGCATCGACTTCCAAGTCGAAACGGATCACCGCCCCCTCGTCACGCTCTTGGGATCTGCGGAGTTGGATCTGATGCCACCTCGAATTTAGCGACTACGCATCCGCCTCATGCGCTACCAGTTCACCGTTCTTTATGTCCCCGGCAAACTTATAGGTACGGCGGACACCCTGTCAAGGGCCCCGGTGCAAGAACTGGAACAGCACTGCCAACGTCGGGTGGACTCCATAGAACTCTTCGTCGGCGAGGTGGTTTCAGCAGCCGCTGATTTCGTGTCATCCCGCCTGGAAGCCCTACGAAAGCACCAAGCAGAAAACGGCATCTGCTCGGGCTTGCGACGCTTCTGCGAAAAGGGGTGGCCAGAACATGTGTCCAGAGTTCCTGTTCATCTACGAGAGTACTGGAAGGAACGTGGGAACATCACCGTGTGCAATGGATTCTTACTCAAAGACCGCCGCATCTTCGTTCCGCGCTCGCTGCGACACGAGATACTGCAGCTGATACATGAAGGCCATCAGGGCATCGGGCGCTGCAAGGCAAGAGCAAGGGACGCAGTTTGGTGGCCGACTCTAAACAGCGAAATAGAGCAACTTGTGACAGGCTGCGAGCGGTGCGCTCAGACAAGAGTACAGCGCTCCGAGCCGCTCATCAGCACACCGACTCCCAGTCGTCCGTGGCAGAGAGTCGGAGCGGATCTGTTCGAGCTCGAGGGGAGACACTACGTGCTCGTCGTGGACTATTACTCCCGCTTCCCAGAGGTCATCAGCTTGACGTCCACGACGTCAGCGTCCGTCGCCGCAGCAGTCAAGAGCACATTCGCCCGGTTTGGGATCCCCGACGTGCTGGTATCGGACAATGGGCCGCAGTTCTCTTCGAGACAGCTCGTCGAGTTCGCCTAGAGCTACGGTTTCTAGCACGTCACGAGCAGTCCACGCTACCCACATGCGAATGGGGAAGCGGAGCGTATGGTGCGGACCATGAAAGAGCTGTTCTACAAATCAAGGGACCCGCACATGGCCCTCCTGGTGTATCGAGACACCCCTGGAGTGACCGGCTAAAGCCCGTCCCAACTGCTAATGGGCCGACGGTTGCAGACAAAGGTACCGAAGATGCCGGAGACGTTGCAGCCGGGGTGGCCATCACGACGGGACTTCAAAAGAAAAGACGGGGAGGCCCGAAGACGCCAGCGAAAGGACTTCAATCGCCGTCACGCTGCTCGCCAACTTCGCCCGCTGTCCGTAGGGGAGGACGTGTGGGTACAAGACGTGCGGTGCCGAGCAACAGTCCTCAGTCCAGCGAAGCGGCCGCGCTCCTACGTAGTCGAGACCGGGACAGGAGTCCTGGAACGCAACCGCCGGCACCTGAGTTCCATTCGATGAGTCTCCGGCGGGCTTCGACACTCCGGATCCCGGCGGTTCGACCCATGAGACTACGGCTCCAGCCAGTCCGGCGATCTCAACGGCAAGAGCAAGTCCGGGTGCAGTGAGCCAACAACAGCCTACCGCAGTTGAGCCTGCACCAACAGCAGCGCCGACGAACTTGTCGAACTCCCCTCCAACATCAACGACGGCGGACAATACGCCGATAAGAGTGACTCGGTCGGGCCGCCAAGTTAGGCGACCCCTACGTTTGGACTTGTAAAACTTAGAAGGGGGGATGTAGTGATGACACGACAGTTCTCACTCGCGTGCCCCGCGGCAACGCGTCTATGCTAGTGCGCATGCTCGGGGTTATCTTTAGTTCGAGAGAAGTGATAATAAACACTTGGGTTCCGGAGTCCGGACTCCGGTGTGGCTGGTCGCTCCTTCCCCGCGAGACAAGCCCAGCCCCCCAAAATCACGTTGATTGGACGAGCGCGGACAAGCAAAGTTTGTCTTTCAAATAACGTAACATTGTCCTGCACTAGAGTGTGTGCGTGTGTATTAGTGCGTGCGTGCGTGCGTGTTTTGCCGCATACGAAAAACGCTACCCCCCCCCCCCCCCCCCCCCTTTTCGCAGCACAATTTGTCTGATGTGGGGGAGGGCTATCTGTCGAGATATTATACGGTAGTCGTTCTTTGGGAAATCGCACTATATCCGGATCTTCTTTTTTTTTCAATTTAGATTTTTTTTTAACAGGAGCCTTGATTGTCTTGAATAAGAAATGATATTGGACGAAAATTTACGCGAGTCTTATGTGAAGAAGCGAGGAGAACACCTGTAACATTTTGACTCAGTAATACTACTGTTACTTGCAGACCACATGCGATAAGTGGTCGGTAACATTGCGTAATCATTATCTCATCTTAAATTTTTCAGCCGAAAATCTACGAATATACGTGAAAATGCGTGGCCTTTTTCTTCACGTCACGTGGGACATGGTGTTTCTTCTTTTTGTGTGTGTGTGTGCTTGTGTGTGTGTGCGTTTGTGAATTTATGTTGTTAGGGGTGTCCAAAGTGTTTCGTAGATGCGGGGAGCAATTCCCCCTGAATTGCTTACCAGAAATGACTAAATTGTATGGAAGGGGGAGGGGGGGGGGGGGGGGGGGGTCGCTCATACTTCCTGTTGCCGAACATCCGTTGTGTACGCCCTAAAGTTATGGGTTACCAGTACGTACGGATTGCACCATGCGACATCATTTTGACGTAGAACTGCGTCTTTCTTTGCGCTTGGAAGGGGGTGCAAAGTTCGGAGGTCGATGTCAGGAAAACTGTGTCACGGAAGTGACGTCACACAGATAACACCGGAGCGGAACCGCGCAGTGTGCGCGCGCGCCCTTTCTTATCAGCTCGTTTGCTCGTCTGCTTGCTTCAACGCGACGCGTCCTGTCTGATTGAAACGGCAATAGACGCCGCTCCAGCAGCCGCGATTTCACAATCTTCGCTCATCGTTCTGGGCCTCTAAACTCGTCAGACACAAACTTGGGGCCGAAGTTGACGAATCGCACCGATTGGCCTATCACGACGATGACTTCGCGCTTTGTTCGCCGACGTCCAATCGGCGCGCTACACGGACTTTCGGCTCCAACTTTGTGTTTCACGAGTTTAGGGCCCCTGGACAAAGGCCGAGCAGGCGTGCTCCACGGCACGGGCAGTTCATGTGACTGTTTCGCGCGACACGGCGAAGCGTATAAAAACAATCGCACTCAATTCCGCATATGTGCCTCGGAGATGGCAACGGAGAACGCTGCGCATTACCGGACTCCGCGAAGCACGCGCGATTCGCTTCTTGTGCGCGCCCGACATCGTCATGTGGCAGGAGCCCGTGGACGTTTCTTCAGCATGCGGCTGTAGTTCTACGGACTTTTATGCACCATAGTAAACCGATGTACAAAACCAATTCTATTTGTTTCGACTGCGTGGTGCCCCCCCCCCCCCCCCCCCAGGTGACCGCCCCCACTGCTGTGACGTGTGCCACAAGACATTCGCCCTGGCATGCAACCTCCGGGCGCACATGAAGACGCACCAGGAAGGTGGGTAGTCCCGCGCACCCCCCTCCCTCCACCTCTCTCTCTCTCTCCACCCTTCTCCCTCCCCCCCCCCCCCCCACACACACACACACACAAAATCATTTAGAGAAGAAATTGGAACAAAGAGAAAGAGGGCTCTTCGGCTCATTATTTCTAAATTTGTTTTCGAACACGACAAAAGCTTGTTCCTTATTTCGGAAAAGATCTTTCTATCTTCCAACATGCGGTTTGGAACACGTAAATTGGGGTACACGTGTGTAACGATCGATTTACGTAGACCATTCAGTTAAGACGTATATTGCAAAGCAATTCGAGTAATAGCAACGGCTATACAATGGATGTTTCTAGCCCTTGCTCTGATTAAGTCCTTTGTCCAGAGCTGGCAAGCAAAATCTGTAAGATCATTTTAAAGGTTTGCGTTTTCCGCAGTAAAGTGTACTTCAGGGACCGTACATTATTGCTGCAGTTCTTATATTCTAAACTTTAATCTATGTCTAATGACTCTGAAGACATCCCAGTGAAACAAACGTAGAAAATAAAATTTAAAGCGGGATCAACTACTCAAATTCTAAAGGCCGGTTCATACATTTTGCGTTTGAGTGTGACAGACTACGTTCCATTACGACGCGCGTTGCGTGAACCTGGATTGCCATAGCAACCCTCTCGCCCTAAGCAGTCATGCGCGGTCGTAAAACGCGATCAGTCATACTCACAAGCAAATTTTCGAACCAGCCGCTCGTGGCGAACTGTGGCCAGAATTTAGGCGCGCGTTAATTATCATAACCAACTGTTTGAAGCGGCGCCTTCCGCCCCGGCCTCTTACGAGAGCGTGTCTTCCTCCCGTGGCCCCGCAAAGGCTGCCCGCACGTGCAGTGCCAGCGTTGCCAGACCGAGTTCCCGGTGTCCAGCCGCCTGGTTGTCAACGGGGTGTGCCAGCAGTGCGTGCAACAGCCCGCCCTGCCGCTCGCCCACCAGCCGGACTTCTCCATCAGAAGACTCGTCGCCTCCTAATCCAGGAAGAACACGCTCCGCAACTTTTGTTGTTGTTGTTCTTTTGCACCACCAAAGAGTTTTTTTTATTTTTTTATTTACAGCACCGTTGTTCTATTGAGACTTCATCGAGGGGCACCGAAAGGGACGATTTCAAGCGTTTTCTGATCACCGACGTCACTATAGTTACCGACAGGGCGAGAACCGCAGTGTTTTTTTACGGATGCCCGACCTCCAACACGCGCTCGTTGCCTTCCGTCGTGCTTTGGTTGCGCGTTCGCTCCAGGCCCACGAGACGGCGAAGCGTTGTCGAAGGTAGCAACAGACTCGCCTCTTCGCCATTGCTCGCTCCCATACTCTGATCATGCACTGGACACGAGTACTGCGTCAGCGCTCGGCGTGAACTCGGCTCGGCTCGTATCGAGAGCGAGTGTGACATCAGCGTTCGGCGAGGACTCGGATGCAATCACGCGCTTCGTGTCCAAGCAATGGCAACCGCTAATGTTGCTCGATGAACTTTTGGAAAGGGTCTATTGCTCGCGCCGGAGGCGACGAGGAAGCGGTAAGTTTTAGCGGCAAGAAATGAAATGATCACATCATGATCTCTATCACCCGATCGTCGAGTGATTCTGCATCGACGCCACCTGAAATGATCAAAGCCCGCGCTCTAGCACTTGGGCGTCGTCGCAGTGAGATCGAGGGCGAGGCCCCAGTGTTGTGCCCGTCACCGGAAATAAGTAAGGAAATAGCGTGACTCCTTAGGTCGTCAAAAGTTAACGTGTTACCGATATTCGTTTCTGCCCTGCAAAGGCAAGGAAAAACCGTCACCGTTACTTCCGAAAATTAACGAACGTTACTTTTGCGCTACCTTAGATGGCAACAGCATTTGTGGGCTCCTAGCAAAACGGAGTAAAAACCAATTTTGTTGGAGCCGACTCCTGCTGTTGCCATAGCAACCCTCACATTCGGTCTGGCTCAACGCAGGTGTGTGAACCGCCCGGCGGAGAAAGACGATCAGCAGAGCGCGTGTTGACGGACCCTGCTTGCGAAGCGATCGCCGATGTTTCATTGCCCGAAGCAGCCTTCGTGTGGCTTCAGCTTGTAAAGGGCGTTAAATCCTCCGGGCGACGCATGGCGTCTTTATGACTGGCGGGAGTAATATTACTGGTGTCTGTCTCTGTGTGTGTGTCTGTGTGTGTGGAAAGGGGGTATTTTTTTTTGTAGAAGTTTGATTGAAGCATTCACCAAGGGCGGTCGCAGCTTCCCCGCAGTGAATAGCTTTGCAACTTCTTTTTTTGGATCGGCATGGGAACGGCATCTTTCTCGGTGAAAGATTTCAAAAGGACGACGCGGAGGAGAAGAATTATATTTCCCCTTTTCGACGCAGTTACAGAATGCAAATCGGCTCGTTTTTAAGTTTAAATAAAAAAAAAAAGTATTAAAATATAACTAGTAACGACTCCGAGCAACGTTAGCTTATTTACTCTACGTCAAATAGTAACCTCAATATTTGATCCTTTAGTCCTTCAGAAATATAACGAGCACGCTACGGCGTTACTGAAAATAAATGTAACGCGTTGCCAGCAGTGATGGAGTCATAGGGCAAATCCGGATGTCCTGCCTTCCCCCCCCCCCCCCCCCCCTTCCTCCTCTGGGCGCGCTGTGTTTCTGAAACATCCGATACACCTTCCCTACCCCTGGAAACACCTGCATCCGAACCAGGTTGCCAATAATGTCGTTACTTGTAACGCGTTACTTACACCACTGTGCGCAGTCCCAAACTGGACACGAGTAGTACCGCGGTATAAATAGCGTTTTGGTAGGGCCTCGTGCCCGTGTCAACGCGTCTCCAGTGACGTCCGGCGCCAGGCTCGACTGCCGGGTTGGCGCCACCCGAGTGTAATTGCGTTACGTGATGCTAGAGGGGGCTTTGATTGTTCTAGGTGGTGTTCTACGTCAACCACTTGATCGTGACGACGCGTGGTCGTTGTGTAGAACGTTCTTTGGCGGGAGTCGGCGTGAGTCGATCGGCACATGTCACAGGCGCATAGAATTATTTACAGCTACCTCTGTGAGAACACCACTATAATCGCCGAAAGCTTCATAAACGCAGGGCGTGGCTTATAACTACCCGTGTTTTCGGTGTTTTTTGAGTGTGTGGTTTTTTTTTCAGCTTGGGGTACTTTTATTGTTTCTTTTTTTTAGATATTTTTTCACAAATTCGATGTTGTTCTTTTTTTGTAAATTCATTACAATTTGTTTAATTTACGCACACCAATACACCAAAACTGCAAACCTCCCTCCCCCCCCCCCCCCCCAAAAAAAAAAAAAAACAAGAAAAAAGGATTGAAAAAAAAATTAAGACTGAAAACACGGATCCTATACCTATAATAATGTTTGTGCACTCACTGCTTCGTGAGTCTTTCTTCGGTCTTCACACGGCTAATGCTGAAATCTCACTGACTGTGGGACAACGATAACATATTCGGGACTCGCCTGGCCTTGCGTTTATTCAAGCCGTCATTGATTAGATGCTCAGAATTCTCATCGTGTCCCTTCAAACAAACTATATCCACAGCCTTTTTTTTTTTTTTTTTTGCTTTGCGCGATGTTAAATAAATATGTCTAGTTAATGTTTTGACAAGGTATAACATTTATGTTTGCACGGAAGGCCGAAGACGCTCGACAAATGCACGCAGAATGTCAACTTATTCCACGAAAAATAATTAATTATGTCAATTCAAGTGTATAGTGATACTTTTTTTCTAATAACGAGATTTAGGGTAGCCAGGTCCAGAAATATATACAGGCTTATTTAACTAATTTCTCATTTTACATTAAAAAAAAACTAAACATAAAAAAAGTGAACTGGATGACGCGCAGTCGATCGAAGCGGATGGAACGAGGCACTTCCGCGAAGTCGTGTACCTCTTGTCAACAGGTGCCGGGACTGCCCGAACATAATGCCAGGCTCTTCAGACCAGATAAATACGTCGTCTAGATAAGGGGGCTCCAGACCCCGACTCGCGTGCCGCAAACGGCCCGCGGAGGCGCTCTGTCCGGCCCGCAGCTACGAACGCAAAAATATTCTAAAAATAAGCGAAAAGGAAAAGAGAAAAACTGCACGAAGACCCGGATTCTCTCGCCTATTATTCGTTGTACATCGTCATCACAATCATTACTATTCTTAGCGTCCTCTTTGATGCGCGTAACTACGATCTGTTCCATATAACTCTCGCATATTGTCATCATCAGAGCTATCATTCTCATTAGTCTTCCATCCCGTGTCAAAATTCATAAGCTCTTTCATTTATGCCCGGTCAACTCTTTGGGCTCCATTTACTTGGTAATGTCATAATTAGCAACACACTGTATTTAAAAATAAAGTATGGGTATGTATTATCCAGCTTACCTTTTTTTAATTGTTTCTCTAGTTGTTTTTTTATTATTATTATTATTATTATCATTGAAATGCTTATTTAGGTTCATTTCTTAAGTATTCCCTAATTGACGTTCTCTTATCTATTCTTCGGCGATCGATACTGCGAGAGGTCCCAAATCTCGAGCACTTAGCCAAAACGTTTGCAGAACCCTGGTCCGCATAATGCGTTCCGAAATGCGCGCCTTCGGCGCATTGGAGGGGCACGCCAGTGAAAACACAACGTAGAGAACGTCCAGGGAACGACTCGATGACGAGGCAGCCTAGCCTGCGCCGTGATTGGTCTAGATCCGGGTGAAACAAAAGCACATATGGACGCATTTGGCGCGTTAAAGACCGACCAACAAAAAGGCGGACCAACTTGCACTCAGATCCTGTATTCTAAGAACAAAAAAAGCATTTACAAAGAAAAAAAAGAACCATACGAGTTTATTTTTCTGCAAAACATGGAGGTGGCCGCAATCACGGCGAACGGTATACCAGGGTCACAGTAAGCGACATTTTGCCACAAAGCTCAATATACGACTATATCATAAAAATGTGACGTGCACATCGGATGAGTGTCGTGTTCATTGCACCTCA